GCGACCTTGGGCGGGTCGCTCGCTCTCGGCCGCCGTCTCCTCCGGGGTTCACCTGCTTTCCCCTTTGCCTGCCCCTGCGCTTTGCGAGACGCTCCTGCCTTGTTTTTCTCTTTTGTTGTTGTTTTTCCTTTTTTTAACTTAGTTCAGTATTTTGACTCTTTGCTAGTACACACAGTATTTTACAGGGTTTTTGGGGGTCTTAGTACTTAACTACTCTCACAAGTCTACTGCTGTGATTCATTGAAATTAATTTAGACTTAGAAGAAGCTGTCATTGTTGGTGTTAACTTGTTAGTAATTTGCCTGTCATCTTGCTTGCCTGGTTCGCACAACGCACAGACCCCTCCCAAAGCCTTCTGCTGGGATCACTTTTTAAATATGTTTTAAGATTTAATTTGAGCCTACTCACAGTGCATGTGTGTTTGTCATGTCTTCTGTTACAAATCTGTAAGTCAGTGTTCTATTGGGGTGTGTTCACTCATATCAAGAAGGTTCATAAATGGATTTTCAATATATTTTGATAATACAAGGCAATTTGATAGTATATTTTACTTGGAACAGATATTTATATATTACATGTTATTCTCCAAAACTGGGAGATCTTCCTTGTCAAATACCTGTTTTCAGTTTGCTGGATTAAGGTGTGATTACTCCCCAGTTCATGAAAATACCAAAAATATTTTGCCTTCCTTCTCTTCTCTGGTTCCTGTAAACATATACTTTAAAGATGATTAGAGTGTCTCTTGCCAGCAAATTCATAGATCAAGGGATCATCTGTTTAGCAAATTAAATACAGTTTATTTTTCCTGCTGGCAGATATGATGAGAAGAATAACAATAGTTTATACTTGTTGAGAGACACTCATTATGTTGGTTATGTGTTCAAACAAATCAAGCCTCTATATTTGTCTATTTCCTCACCCTATGGTTTTGTTTTGTTTTCCTGTTTGTAAAATTAAAGGCTTGCACAGGACAAAGATCTACAACTGCCTGAAGTATTGTAAAAAACCCAACCCCCCTAAAACCTTTAGCTAAGCAAGAGCACTTAGAGATAATAAAACATGTGTGATACAGTTTGTGTATCTCTGGCCTACTTAGGACGCTCTTGTGGGAAAACTATTCTCAGGGGTGTTAATGCTGTAGCAAGAATGTCAGAATGAAAATTCTGTGGCTTATAATGAACAAATGAATGTCAGTACGTTGCCACCATTTATGAGAGTTAGAAAAATGAACAGTGAAAATGTAATAATGGCTCAGAAGAAGGAAATTCCAATGTTATTTGAAGCCTTTGCCATGGAATGGAAGGATTTTTTTTTAAAGAATTTATTTTCGGAAAAAAACACCCCAACCCTGAGAAATACATATCTCAATGACTTTTGCCATAGGCTGCATGTCCCCAGCTTCTGATGGTATATATTTTGTGTATCGTTTCAGGAATGGTACAGTTGTTGCTGTGCAGCTCGATGTTGCTGAAGAGAATTTCTATGAGCTTGCTGTTCAATCTGTCTGTTGTTCAGAATGGCGAAGAACCCTAATTTTCAGGAAGTTGGTCATCTGCCTACAGGCTACGTGCACTGTCGATCTTCAGACAGCTTTACTGGTGAGCGGACCAGTGTGTTTCTGTGTGTTTTATATATGTGTTAGTAAATTATCTGCACTTAGTATGTTGTACTTTGTACCTAGCTAACTTATTCCTGCTCTTCTATCAGAGGACCACATCTCAGAGCAGAGCATAAAGCATTAGCACTGCAGCGCTGAAGTGGTGGGAATGCATTTGCAGATGAGCAGTGCATAATTTCCCAAATCGTTTAAATTGAAATGTTTTTGGTATTAAATTGTTGTTTAGAATGCTGTCATTGAATGGTATGGTTATTTATCATTAACTGGAGTGAACACTGACTTTTCTTTTAATCCCTTCATAACAGGAGGGTTATAGAGGACACTTAAAAGTTCTGTCAACTTAATTTATTTGATCTGTTGTACGTCTATAAACTCCTGCTGATCTGTTGTACGTCTATAAACTCCTGCTGCATTGATTACGTTGTTATTATTGGATACTAAGTATTGGAACATGTAGTTTTTTTTCCTTTTTCTGTAACAATTTTCACCCACAGTCAACCTTGTTATTGTTATTTAGAAGTACAAAGGAGCTTCTGTAGTGAAGGTTCTGACAGAATCTAAATATTTGCTTGGGTTATACTCTGTGTACCTTGAAATAGTTACCAAAAAAATCCCATTTTCTGAGATGTTAGCTTATTGTACCAGAACTTATGAGAACTTGTTTGGTTTTTTTTAATGAAAAGATGTGTATATCTATTAAGAAAACAAACCATTTGGTTTGAAACCACATTATGTCTGTACAGTAGCCTTACTGTCACACCAACCATGTTCTGTGAGTCTATGGCAATAGAAGTTGTACTTAAAGTTGTATCTTGCTGGAGTTTATTTAAGTCATAGCAAAATATTTTATGAAGTAATGAATTACTAAAAATTGTAGTACTACTGACATCCCTTCAAATCAACTGTGAACCAGTTTCTAGTTCTAGGTAAAACAGCAGTGTAAGAGAATTATATTAAAGAAAAATCTGTTAGTTTGTACCTAGCAAGGTAATTATACAATATGAGGAAGAGCTTAAGTGTTTCAAGGTTATGAAATTATTTGCTCAGTGTTTGTAATCCAGTGCCTTATTTCATAAAATTTTTAATTCCAGCAATAGTCTGTTTATTTCCATGTATTTAAAAATATTTCAATAGGGTTATCAGTTATGTAAACATTTTTCATTGGTTTTATGTAAAACATCCAAATTATTTATGAACGATTTCTTAAATTCCTTTTTGTGTACCTAGTATAAAACCAGCTCTTCCATGTGTCGTTGAACTAACATTGCTTTTCAGAGAATTCTTTCTTGATAGCCCAAGTGAGGCAGGGAAGTGACTGAGTATGAATCTTCATTGCAGCTCTGGTTTGAGAGTTGTTTAGTCATTAGGGTTTTGCTGTTGTTGCTGAATTTTCTAGTTCACGTTTTTGTACACCATAACATGCTACAGATTACTTACTGAAAGAAAATATAGCAAGCTGAAACTGAGAGTTTTTTTCTGTGTTAGTTCATGTAGCCATGACGCACATTGTGTAATGTTGCATCTTGTCTCATGTAATAAATACTAGACCACATTTTTTACATGCTCGCTGCTGAAGAGGTGAAGAAGGGTGCCTTCTGATGGGGTCTTAGCATACGTTATTTGTAGGCCTTCTGGCTTAACAGGTGCATTTTGAGATTTTTGCAGTCTTAATGATTCCTTAGACTCACTGAGGAGACTTCTGTTTATTTCCATGACATGAACTGGTGGACAGCAAGATGACCATGAGCCAGCAATGTGCCTGCATGGCCAAGAAGGCCAATGGCATCCTGGAGAGGGTTAATAGGTTGAGAGAGGTTCTACTCTGCCCTAGTGAGGCCACATCTGGAATACTGTGTCCAGTTCTGGGCCTCTCAGCTCAAGAGAGACAGGGAACTGCTTGAGAGAGTCCAGCGCAGAGCCACAGCGATGATGAAGGGAGTGGAACATCTCCCTTATGAGGAAGGGCTGAAGGAGCTGGGTCTCTTTAGCTTGGAGGAGACTGAGAGGTGACCTCATTGATGTTTATAAATATGTAAAGGGTGAGTGTCAGGAGGACAGAGCCAGGATCTAATGACAGGACGAGGGGCAACGAGTGCCAGCTGAAGCATAGAAGGTTCGACAAAAATATTAGGAAAAACTTTTTCACTATGAAAAAGTTCCAGAGCACTGGCACAGGCTGCCCAGGGAGGTTGTGGAGTCTCCTTCTCTGGAGACATTCAAAACCCGCCTGGACGCGTTCCTGTGTGACCTACTGTAGGTGATCCTGCTTTGGCAGGGGGCTGGACTAAATGATCTTTGAAGGTCCCTTCGAACCCCTGACATTCTGTGATTCTGTGAACTAAGCCGAGGCAAATAACTCCTGGAATACCTCCTGGAAATAGGTTATGGACTGGCAAGAGGCTTGTAAATGGCTTGGCCTTTTATTCTGAAGTTGGTTAAGTGTTGTTCTTTGAACTTTGGGAAGAGTAAACACCTATATTCTCTGAAAGGTGTGATACTCTTTGATGACGGAATGTGCCAGAGGGGATTTAAGGAAGGATTTTGCCAAGCGCCTGACAACGTCCGTCTTTTTTTATTGTTAATACTACTTTGAGTTGCCATGAGAAAAATAAAAGTTTAGCTATACGGGGAAGTTGTGAGCTCATAGCAACTTGCCTCAGCTAAAGCGATATGTTACTTTGTGCTTCCTCAAACAAGAAATGTGCCAATTGTTTCAAGAGTTGACTGAACTCATACCATTAATTAATCCAGTCTAGGAAGATCTGAAGTCATGTATTACATGATTCTATGTTCTGAAGGCAGGACTGCTCTTACTGGGCTGCTTGGTATGGAAAATCCACAACAGAGATGAAACTTGGATTGGAAATGCATAGTAGTAAACAAAGTTTGAGTGCTTCTTCCGTATACTGGCGTTACTCACAGAAAGCGTGTAAGACGTTTACATTAGTCTTCCATAAGTCTGTATAAGGCATGTGCATAGTTTCTTGAAGTTGTCAGTTTCCATGGCTTTGTCATTACAGCCTTTGAAAGGCTTCTCAACCAGAAGCTTGTAGCAACCATTTGAGTCCCATAATCCCTTGTGATCAGTTCTTGTTTGAAATTGACAATTTAGAATAGCACATTGTACCGGGAATTTGGAGAGCATTAAACATCAGAACAAGTTTGTCTTGCATCTTGCACATAGAGATTTCTAAATTTCTGCTCTCATTGCTTGCTGAAGTTCAGGGTCTTGATGTGCATTAGGACTGGCATCCTCAGCTTGTTAGCAGGTGTCCCTGCTTCAGACTTCGTGCTCTTCTGTACACTGATTCTTGTTTAGAGAGAGATTAATGTACACTTGAGAGGGAAGTGTGCTTTTGGCTCTCTTTATTTATTTAACCTGAAATGGAAGCCACTTTCACTTGAACTTTTCACCCTGTTGGCACATGACAATGTCCACAGCTGCTAGAAACAAAGTTAGTGTACAGCTGATGGCATTCTCTTATCTTTACTGCTTTTACAGTCTCTTGGCTTTACACAGACAGTACCTACTGTTCTTATTTTTTTCGAGATAAGAGTGGATGTAGAAAAAAACAGAGGTAAAAGTAAATTTTAAAACTGAAATGTGCCTGTACTTGTATGTGTATGAAGTATCATAAATGGACTTCCCTAATCAATCAGAGTTGGAACTAGCAGAAGAGAGTACAGAAGTTGGTTGATAGTGTGTGTGTGCAGTTGAGTTGCCTGACTGTTGTGAATGAAGATCAGCAAGACCAGTGACAGACTTGTAAGGTACAGAAATCTTGGAGGGGTATTGAGGCATGAGATTTGCAGTTGAGTAACAAATTGTCAAGGGTTAGGGCTAGCCCTGCCACTAAATGCTGACAGATGCTCTCTAACCACTCTCCCTCCACAGACAGGAAGCGAATAAGGCAGAGAGACTTAGGAGTTGGGACTGAAAACTAAACCAGCTTTAATAAATCAATAATAGTACTGATAAGAAAATAATGAACTATATACAAGTATATACAAAACTGATAGTGAACCAGACTTCCCTCCTCCTGTGCTCCTCCGATAGCAGTCACCACTGGTGCTGGCACTGGGGAGATCCCAGGCACCGCAGGCAGGCACCAGGGAAAGCCCAGGCTCAGTGGCAGAGGGGAACTGGGTATAGGAGGTGGATTTAGGAACTCAAGGTCAAAGGCAGAAGATCGGACAGAGTCCTTCTTGGATGCTGGCCACTGAAGAAGTGGAAGAGCAAGAGGGCATAACCTCCCTGAGCTTTATGTTGAATATGACATATGTGGAATATAATACTCTTGTTACTTTTGAGTCACCTGTCCTGCTTGTTACTCACTGGAGGTGCAACCTTTTACTTCCTTGCAACCCCTTCTACTTCCCAGCAGCCCCAGCGTGGCACACAGGAGCCAGCAGTGGCCTTGGTCACTGTAGGAGCAAGTATCAGCAAGAGCCTGTCTGCATACTGGTCTCTGACAGTAACTGTGAACGTCAGGTGTTACCACTGCCAGTAGCACACGCTGTCTGCAAAGAACACGCTGTTAACTTTAGGAAGTGCAGCCTCTTGGAAGAGACTGAGCTGAAAAAGTAAAATCACTAATCAGAATTGGTTTTGTTTAGCTCAAACTGGGACAAAAGTATATTGTTTTGTTTGCTCCTTTGCTATAATAAAAGGTTTTGTATTTTGAGAACATTTCAATTTTACTGTTGTCTATAAACTCTCAGATAATTATGTTGTGATAGATATTACTTTTAGTATAAATAGGTGCAACTGGATTGATGTAAGCTAAACTTGTTACAAAGTAAATGTTACTGGAAGTGTATGTTGCATAAATCTGTTTAGTGCAGAGTTGTCTTAGCTAATTGTGAATTAATTGGTGCAAATGGAAGAAACAGTCTGCTATTATGAAAAAACATGAAAATTAGTTTACTCTCTTGTCAGGAAAGAAGAATGACTGCAGTCATCATTTTGAGTTCCTGTGGTCAGACTGCCTCTAGATTCTTGGCGAGTGTTGCTGGTTCCCCACCGTAATGGCTACACGGGCTCACAGCTTCTAATTCAAATAGCAGAGACAGCCTGAGGAGAGCTGGGGTTTTTGTTCCGATTTGTGTTCCCAAGTGTGATCTGCATTATCGATTTAATATGCCATATTTTTCTCAAATCTTATTTTCTGTTGCTTTTTTTAGTTTAGTTTAAAGTTCTTTGGGACCGTGTTTCTACAGTATCTTGAATTTTGGGTTAAGCATTTCCGGGTGTTACAGAAGAGCAAGAAATACTTAACCCCGTGTGCATGTGTTTTCTTTTCTTTGTTAGGGTAGAAATGACTGGAAACATGCGTATTTTCTCTTAATACTCTTAACATATAGCTTAAAAATTAGTTCATGTCATGAATATTTCACCTGAGAGATTATTGATACAACCTCATAATTTCCTGCTTTTTGGACTACACCAGCTTTCTTCAGCACTAAGCATGCACCCATTTTGAAGAGCGGCTGGTCCGTGGAGCACAGGAGGTGTCTCTGAAAATGAGGAGGGTTGTTATCTGAAGCAGCCAGCCTCTTTTTATGTAAAAGTAAATCAAAGTGCAAGAATAGAAGCTGTTTTAAGATCTAAATTCTCCTGTGGATGCTCTTGCCACTGAGACTACAGAAAACCTCTCTTGCTGAAATACGCCAAAGCCAACAAAACTGAAACCTTTTTTGAATTAAGAGGTAACGAAATAATTCCATAGAATGCATTGATCTATATTGTACATTAGTGGACGTTAGTGTACACTGGTCTCCTACTTTTATGACTGAGAGGGGGTTTATGAGGGGGTTTATTTTCTTACATGTATGAGGGAGCAAGAAGGCATCAGCAAAACTGGAAAGCGCATGAAAGTTGAATTGTACATTGTAATGCTTTGCTCTTTGGCAGGCTTTGTCTCTTATTTATTAAAAGTTATCCTGATTGTTTATTTTTTTTTTCCAGTTCTGGGAACTTGATTGGAATTCTGCAAGAACATTGGTGTTTTCACTTGTCACTGACTTTAAGAAAGACTTGAGTCTTAAGACTTTGCTTGATTGTTCAAGTTATTTATTTCTTTATAACTTATGTGCATTTTAATTCAGATAAAATTGCTTTCTAATGGTAAAGTTTTTTATTTTTTAATAGCTTTTGTTGGAATCTTTGTATTTTAAGCAAGTAGATTGACAGAGCAACAAGGTGACAGAATTCTCTGAAGTAAATTCTGTTGGGTAGAATTGCTGATGCAAGGTGCATCAAGACCTGTTGTAAATGAACTTTAACAGAAAACCGTTTCGTGTCATTTTTCTTGCAATATGTGGTAACTTAGGCTGGTCGCTTTCTTTGTAATCACAGCCTGATCTTTTGCCATTTTTAATACTTGTGCCCTTTATCATACTGGTTGTTTTCCCTTTAGGCTACCAATACCACCATCCCTCCAAGATGAGTAACAGCCATCCGCTCCGTCCTTACACAGCTGTGGGTGAGATCGACCACGTTCACATTCTGTCAGAGCATATTGGTGCCCTAATGAACGGGGAAGAATACAGTGACGTTACCTTTATTGTAGAAAAGAAACGTTTTCCAGCACACAGAGTGATCCTGGCTGCTAGGTGCCATTATTTCAGGTGAGGTATAGCTTCTTGTCAGCCTCACAGGAAATTTTCATGCAGATAAGATAAACATTGTTTCTCTATGAACTTTTCAGTGTGTAATCATCTGTTCGTTAAGTGTGACCTTTCCTGTGTGTATGTTTCCCAGCACATCAAATCATTGTGTCCAAATACAAAAAGATAAATACCATGTCATGTTGTTATTCTTTTGACCTTCATTAAATTGGATTTTGAAGGTAGTTTCACAAATTCAAGAGAAAGATAACTTCAAATGGGAAAAAAAAGTTCTGCTGTAAAATTGTTTTGATTCTCAGAGTACAGGTGGTGTGTTTCTGTGGAATATACAATTAGAAGGTTTAATTCTGATGTGTTGGAACTGAATTTTTAAAGAGGTCTGGTTAGAATATATATTTTAAAGTTAGAAATAACACTAATCCAACATTTTTAAGAGCTGAGCATTTTTCACTCTAAACGTGATTAATAGAACTTCCTGATGATATTCCAGTTAATTTTGTCAGAGGGATAAGCTAATACTGAAGTGTAAGTGCAAATTATATTCAAACTGTCTAGCATATTTAAAAAAAAATAATTGCAAGCACTTTGATTTTTCTCAAGATTCATGATTTCATCAGAGTTGCAACGTTTGGGTGTAGAATAAGGAACAGAAGCTCAATAATCCAGATTTGCTAATCTGCTGTTGTAGTGGCAGAATACTTTCTGAAGTATTTTTATTTCTCACTAATAGCACTACATTTAAAAAAAGCAACAAAACAGCTATAAGAATCGTATCTCAATTTCTTTTTCACACCCTATTGTTCAAAGTGGAGATGGAGCAGTTGTGTAGGATAAAAACATGCTACATTAGAATATTATTATTATTATTGAGCACCTCCTTTCAGAGTAGAGCTGCACTTTAAATGTCAAGTATAAGGATTTTCTTTTGTAGATTCTTAAACCATATCCCCTTTGAATTCCCCTTGCTGTAAATAGTGATTTATTCCTTTCTCTTTCTACTTTTTCTCTGATTTTTTATCAGGATGTAAATGTCTCAAATTTTATCTTCCTTGCAGAGCATTATTGTATGGTGGAATGAGAGAATCTCAGCCTGAAGCAGAAATTCCTCTTCAGGACACCACTGCAGAGGCATTTACCATGCTGCTGAAGTATATTTACACTGGCCGTGCTACATTACGAGATGAGAAAGAGGAGGTTCTCCTAGACTTCCTAAGCCTAGCACATAAATATGGGTTCCCAGAACTGGAGGATTCTACGTCTGAGTATCTTTGCACAATACTTAATATTCAGAATGTCTGTATGACATTTGATGTTGCCAGTCTTTATTCCCTTCCGAAATTAACTTGTATGTGCTGTATGTTCATGGATAGAAATGCCCAAGAGGTGCTCTCCAGTGAAGGTTTCCTCTCCCTTTCTAAGGTATATCTTTCATTTTCTGCTTTTTTTTTCTCCAGGAATGTTATTTTTAATCAGTGTGCAACTTCATAATATATGAATGGGGCCACAAGTTTATGTGTTAGCTAACAGGTATCATTTTATACTAGTCAAACAGTGACAGCTGAAAATGTTCAAGCCAAACTGACCTGAAAGTGCTGGTGATCTGTTCTGAATGTTCTAAGTATTTAATTTTGACAAGTCAACATAGCTAGTAAATCTGACAGTTTTCCAAGAGATGGGAGCAGGCCATCTTACCTTAATTTGTCTTTTTTTTTCATCTGTTCTTGAAATAATATAACACGTCTTCTGAAAGCTAACCAGGGTATATAAATAAAGATTTGAAGGTAGCAGAAGATACTCCGTTTTACGAATTTCTTGATACACACTGCTTTGAGGCTGGCGATTTTTCTACTGTGTCAACTAAAGCAGTCTGGAGGTTGCTGTGATTTATATTGCTGGTTGTCATCATGTTCTGAAATTGCATGATATGGTGGTGGTGTAGGGTGATGTGGCTTTTTCGTGTGTTGATTTTGTTGGTGTTAGATGCCTAAATGTTTGTACCTGAAACAGCCTGTTCTATGACATTGAAATTTTCACTTTACTCTGGAGTAGTTTTTGAGGTGGACATGATAGTGATAGAGTGTCTTCAAGTAATGTACACATGAAGCAGGAGAGCAGCTTGAATGAATGCTGGGTTAATTATTTTTTTTTAAGTGTTTTTGTAGAAAAGCTGTGAGGGGTCTATTCCTTAAGTACAAGACACTCTGCTCCACTAACTTAGTAGTTGTGTAGGAAAAAAAAAGTTAGTTTTTTTCTCTGCTGTACTCTGTCATGTGCAGTTTGTTAAATCTGAACTCTGAGAGCATATTATCAATAAAGAAATCAGCATATGTCATTCATCAGGGAGCTCATACTTTGACATCTTTGGCTTAACCAATCCCGGTGTATATGAGAGATTTTTCTTTTTATTAGGCAAAATCCTAATTATTGTGCTAGCTAAGTGAAAATTCAAAAGCTGTTTAGTTCTCTTTGTTCTCATTTTGCAGTCAGTGCATTTTCTGCATGAATAAAAGCCACTGAAGTTTTTACCAGCTGTTTCTAAGTTGGTATCAAAAGAGAGAGAAAAAGGGCAGGGGAGGAATCCCCAGTAGCTGGAAGTGTTCTAAAAACGGTGATTCCAAGCCATGCTTTGATTTGGGGATTTTTTTATTTTTTTTTAATCAGTGTTCTTGTAACAGCCTAAGTTTAAAAGAATGCTTTGAACATACTACCTAATCCCCAAAACACTTCTTATATTCTAAAGTAAATTTGAAGTGGTAATTGGAATTGAATTTATATAAATAGTTCTCACATTTCAATTCTTACAATTCAATTCCATGATACAATTATTACAAACCCGCTAGGAGAAATATTACCTATTATTTACATGAAGGATTCTGTAATTCTTTTGTAAGTCACTCCTTCGGAGATTATCTAACTACATGTTAAAATACTCATCAATTTTTTGCCTTATTTCAATTTCCCTTTTTTTTCCTTTTGAAAAAAAATAATATTTGTTTTCCTTGTTTTTTTTTTTTCTTTTCCAGGCTGCACTTCTAAGTATTGTACTGAGAGACTCGTTTGCAGCTCCTGAGAAGGATATTTTCCAAGCTTTGATGAATTGGTGTAAACATAACCCCAAGGAAAACCATGCTGAAATCATGCAAGCAGTACGTTTGCCACTAATGAGTCTAACAGAGCTACTAAATGTTGTAAGACCTTCTGGACTGTTGTCACCTGATGCCATCCTAGATGCCATTAAGATTCGTTCGGAGAGTCGCGACATGGACCTCAACTACAGGGGCATGTTAAGTAAGCATCAGTTTCATTGTTTGTTTGTGTTTGGTTTTCCTCTTTTAGTGACTATAGTTGTCTGGAGAATGTAGTTGATTTGTGCTTAGAGTTTTGTCTATTATTATGTGTTTTCAAGGGCTTGCTTAATGAAATGTCTTGTTATGGGCTAGTTTTGCCATTTCTGTTCCTCAAATGACATTAGTCAATATATCTTATTGCTTTGTGTCACAGATATTGCTCAAATATGAGTGCTGTAATAAGTGTATTTTCCTAGAGGAAGTGGTATTTTAATAGAAAAGCTTTTTGCAGAAATATCAGAAATAAAAATGTGTTGGCTGTGGGTAATTTGATATTTAAATGACTTTGTTGATGGTGACTTGTTTTCTACTTGATGAAGATTTTCATCTTCTCTTCCACTACTTTTGATTTTCTCTTGCTCTTTACATGCTTGCCCAAGTAATATAAACAAGTCTTCCAAAATTGTAATAATGGAAGCCTAAAAAGTGTGATAAGTCTTTTGTTGGACTTTTGTCCGTGCTCTGTTAATTCAACAACAGTATCTTACACTGAGCTTTAGAAAGATAGTGGTAGTTTGTATTCTAATGTGTGATTTATAAAGAGCACTTGGCCCACAGCAAAGAATAAAGTTAAATGTTCTTTGAAAGCCTACACTGTAGTCTGGCAGTCAGGCATGATGAGCCCTCAGAACGATAACTGCTTTCAGAACTGCATCTCCCCTTTGTTCTCTCTTAGAAGTTACAGGCATTAATATTTAAATATGAGTTTAATGCTAGGGCTTTGTAAAAGTCTTAACGCAAGGCATTCTGTGCACAGTGCAGTAGATAAATCTGAAAAAATTAAACTGACTTCTGACTTCTTTTACCACATGTTTATGTGTTATTATGCTCTTAATCTCAAAATTTCTAGTTCTGTCAAAATCACAGTTTTTTAGGGAATTGAATTTCTGTGTTATTTTAGTAGTAGTTCAGGCTCTTGACATTTCTTTCTGTTTGTGGAAACATTGATGACCGCTTGAAATTTCAAAGTTGTGCATTTCTTGTTTTTTATGTAGCAGTACTACAAAACAGTTAGAATTTTACCACTTCAAATTCTGTTCTTTTAGATGTTAACTTTAACATCCTGTTAAAATTAATACTTCTGTTTCCAACCTGCCTGAAGAGTTAAAGGGCAGCTTTTTATCACTTAGCTTTCAGGTCATGTTTCCTCTCCTGAAAGACAACTGTTAAAAATGTCTTTTTTAACAGGGTGGTTCATCAGCGTATTATGTTGCAGTTCAAGTTAGGGATCATTATCCCGCGTTATCTTGATGAAAGGTCTGTTCCTAGGATGTAACAAGTTTATAACTGTGAAATAAGGGCGTAAAAAAATCAGTTTACTGTGTTGGTTCAAAGCCCAAGTCTCCTGTGGCACTCGTGTTCGTTTAGCTTTGCAGAGTACGGGAAGCTTGTATAGCTATCAGAATAGCCTCTACCACTGTAGAGACCGCTCTGCAAATACCTGATGAATCCACATTTTCAACATTTTGTGTGATTTTCCAGTTTCCTTCCACTTCAGAAAAAAACAACTGCAACTCAACTGAAATTAGAACAACGAAAAAGTATGAAAGAAAAGGCAGAACTGTTTTTTTAGTGGTATGGTGAGAGGTGATCACAGGGAGAGACTAAATAGGCCAAAACTTTAATTTAAAACTGGGAAGAAAATGATGATTGCATGAGGAAGGTACAAGAGAATTTTGTAAAATTATGAAGGGAACTGAACATATAGATACTACATACTAGTAAATTATCACTACTTATTCTTACTACCGTAAAAGACCCAGGTGGTGTCAAATGAAACGGAACAAGCAGAACTTCTAAAATGCCTCTCTTTCTGAGAGAGCATGTGTTTGTGGCTAAGCAAGGATAAAGGCAATAAATCTTTATTCCAACCCTAATAGAGTTGATGTTGACAATGTGTAATTTACAGCATGAAAGAGTAAAAATTAAGCAGTTATTTCCTTTTCTTCTTAGTACCGGGGGAAAATATTGCGACGATGAAGTATGGAGCGCAGGTTGTGAAAGGGGAGCTTAAGTCTGCTTTATTAGATGGGGATACTCAGAACTATGACTTGGATCATGGCTTCTCTCGACACCCGATCGATGATGACTGCCGTTCCGGAATTGAAATTAAACTAGGCCAGCCGTCGATAATCAACCACGTACGAATTCTTCTGTGGGACAGAGATAGTCGGTAGGTGCCCAGTTGACATAAAAAGGGGAAGGTCATGCAGTTTGTACTGGTGGCAGTGTATCTATGGGAAGTATTCATTAAATGTTTCCTAGAAACACCATGATACAGTGTCGGAGACGACCATGACAAATTTAATTTGAAAACACTGGGTTTTAAATGCAATTTTAGTTATTTACACACTGGCCCATATTTATGACACTAAACTACCTCGTAATATTTCAGTGTATTTTCTGTATTGCTAAATTGTTGTAATTTTTTTTTTATTTGCTATTTAGTTTTCAACTTCTTTTATTTTAGTTTGAAAACAGTTTTTTAGTTCTTTTGGAGAAACCATATTTTTTTTAAACCTATTTAAATTCCAAACATTGAAGGAATATTTGTTCACATTTTTTTCAACATATCAAAACTGTTAAGAAATAAGACACCTGGACAGTTATTCAGAGATAGTAAAACTTAGAATGTGAATTACGAACTAACTGACACTTCATGGTGAGACTGGTGAAGTATTACCTATCATGGATGCCTTAGCTAATTTATGCTCAGCTACTTTAGATTATTGTGGAATGCAGGAAAGATCAAATTATGCACATTCGAACTGAGTGACTGCTTAAGTAGCAAAATTGCAAGGCTCTTTTTATCTGACAAATTGAATGTATTAATTGTAAAATCTTTGTCATGGCAGGTTGTAAAATTTTATAGACAGTTTATGTAGGTATTCATAAGTAATTTTCTGTTAGAAACAATAAAACAAGCTACTTAAAATTTTTACATTATTACCTTTTTAATAAAAGATTAATTTTATATTACCTCCAGACTAACAGTTTAGAATTGCAAAACGCAGTTGCGTTTAGTTTTCTTACCTAAGCTGTGTTATTTTAGAACAGGGTGTACTAATGTTTTATTGATTTCGATTTTCATTTTGTGTAAATTAAATTATTTTAAAAATACGAATCCTATTGTAATTTATAACAAACTTAATGAATTTTTAGCTATTTAATAGTTTCAAGGAAGTTCTCCCGATTCAGTTCAGCTGACATTTATGCTTGTCCCCTGTTCCTTTTAGAAAGATTGAAAAGTAGAGCTTAGAGGTACCAGGAACTACTTCATACAATATTATACTACTTGTCCTAGAAGGTCAACCAGATTTATAAGCAACTTATCAACGGATTTTATTAAACTTGGAAAAGTGTTAGAGAGACACTAGTAATGCAGAGTTCTCCAGCGATTTTCAGAGAGCTTGTAGCTTGGAAAATGCCCTTCATTTGCAGGGTGCAAAATGAAGACTTGGCAGCTGCTGAAGCTCAGGGAAAAATCCTTCACCTTTGGATAGCTTACTAAAAAGAATTATCTGTTGCTTGATGTCCTGTGCCCTTCCTCTGAAATTTGTAGAATGGACCATTGTTGCTGGCCAAATGTCAGACAAGATAGACCTCTACTCTAGAGGTTTTTTTGTCTTCATAAAATACTGAGGGTACGATGGTTTAGGATTTAGTTCCTGGGTCATCCTGAATTCTTCATTTTTTCTGTGCAAAGTTTGTTTTTAGATTTTTTTTTTCATCTTGCCAGGTGTAGTATGCAAATTTTCACTTTTTTTTCCCCCAGTAGCTTAACTGTCCAAGATAAATGGAAAAGGGAGCATTTGGAGTACTTTGTCCAGCTCTGGGATCTTCAGCATAAAGTACTGACGTACCCAGGGTGCTGAGGGCTTGAGCACATGATGTACGAGGAGATGTTGAGAGAATTTGCTGTTCTAAGAGAAGGCGGCTTAGAAGCGGGAAGTTCTTGGCATCTGTGCCTGTTTAATGGAAGAATATAGAGAATACAGGACTGGGCTACTCTTACAGCTGTGTGCTGAGAGGGCAAAGAGTGGCGGGTACAAGCAACAAGATAAATTCCTGTTAAATCTTGGGAAAAGAATTTGTAATGAGGTAGTTTAACTTGGAAAGAGTTTGCACAGAGAGGTGAAGGGTATCAGCGGTGGAGATACGCAGAACTTCACTAGCCAGGACCTTATGGAACTTGCTCTAAGATTGCTCTCACTTTTTCTAGAGATCCTTTCTAACCTGAGTACTTTTAGTCTAGGAATTATCAGCCACTTATCTAATACGTGCTGGTGGGATACATGAATAATGTCTCCAAAAGAGATGCTTTAGCAACTGTGTGTGGTGGTTTCTTGTTGAACATCTTTTTAAACTACTCATTCATATTAACTATCTCTATGAAGTTCTGGTCTACTGGATATCTTTATATAGATAATGTTTATTCTCAGCAGAACCAAGTACAAACTAATAGGTGTGTTTTGCACCTCTAGTTTAGAGGTGTTGTTAACAGATGAGTCTGAGATGTAAAAGTGCCAAGGAGACTAGCTGTCCAAATTACCTCTGAAAAAAAGATGCTATCCTTAGGGAAAATAAAAGGCATAGTGTTATATATGATGATGGAACTTTATTTAGCAAGATCTGTTGTGGCAGGACAAAGGGCAAAAGTTTTAAACTGAAAGGGGGTAGATTTAAACTGGATATAAGGAAGAGTTTTTTACTATGAGGTGGTGAAACACTGGAGCAGTTTGCCCAAGAGAGGTGGTGGAAGCTTCATCCCTGGAGACATTCAAGGTGAGGCTTGATGGGGCTCTGAGCAACCTGATCTAATTAAAGCTGTCCCTGCTCACTGAAGGGGAGGTTGGACTCGGTGACCTTCAGACGCCCTTCCCAGCCCAATGCATTCTATGTATTTTTGGGACAATTTTTCTGTTCTTGTCACCTTCAGGAAAAAGAAGTATCATGTTGTATGCTGGTTACGAATTTATATTAGTCTAGTGGTGGTGATTTGAGAATCCTTAAATTTCCACCACGCAGAGGACAGACAGTAACTTTTGGATCCAAACTGCTCAAACTCTAAAATGCTGGAACCTTATTAGGTCAAATATGCATAGATTAGTAATGATAATGTTTCTAAAACATAGCGTGTTTGTATAGGTTGTGAATATTGCACATCTGGTTGGTGTGAATGTGAAAGCTGATGATGCAATTGACATCTTAAGAGACTTTGCTTTACCTTTCAAAGTGCATAAATTAGTATTAACAGTGTTACCTAACATTTTAAGAATTTTTAAGCAATTGCACTTTAGACATCTGTAATGGGTTAGTGCTGGGCTGACCACTAAACATGGACAGATGCTCTCTAACCCCCTCTTTCCCCCTCAAATGGGATGGAAAAGGGAATTAAGCAGAGAGACTTATGGGTTAGAGAAGAAAAACTAGAGCAGCTTTAGTGAAACACTAATGGAAATAATAGTGAAATGATAAAAATAAAGAACTATATACATCTATATATAAGCCCGATATTGAACCCAACTCCTCCCCCGATATCAATCCCCACTGATGCTGCAGAGCAGGCGGCACTGGGGAAGCCCCAGGCTCAGTGGCAGCAGGAGCTGGATGCAGGAGCTGGATTCCAGTTAGCTCAGTGGTTTGGGCGTGGTGCTGGCAACATTGACAACACCGAGGTTGTGGATTCTATTCCCGCTTGGTCCCCATGTGTTGCCTGGTCTAGTCGAGAGGTGGCGTCTCTGCCCATGACAGGGAGGTTGGACTAGATGATCTCTAAGGTCCCTTCCAGCCTAGGCCATTCTGTGATTCTTTGATTCGGGAACTCAAGATCCGGATCAAAAGCAGGAGATTGGAGGGAGTCCTCCCTGGACACCGGCCATTGCAGAACAGGGGAAAGAAGGAAGAAGGGCATAAACTCTCATGATCTTATACTAAATATACTAAATATGTCGTATATGGGATGGAATACTCTCATTGGTCACATGTCCTCTCTGTTACCCCCCGGAGGTGCAACCTTTTACTTCCTTGTGACCCCTCTTACTACCCAGCACCCCTGTCATGGCACACAGGAGCCAGCAGTGGCCTTGGTCACTGTAGGAGTAAGTATCAGCAAGACCCTTTCTGCATCCCAGTCCCAGGCAGTAACTGCAAACATCAGGTGTTATCACTGCCAGTAGCACACACTGCCTGCAAAGAACACGCTGTTAACTTTAGGAAGTGCAGCCTCTTGGAAGAGACTAAACTGGAAAGTAAAAATCACTAAATAGGACTGGGTTTTTAGCTAAAACCAGAACATCATCTACTTCTCTAAGTCCTTAGCAAAAAATTGGAAGTACTAACAAAGACATTAATGTTTAAAAAACTTCCATGCATCGTATTGCATAATAACTCTGAAAGAGCTACTCTTCTTTTAGAAATCAGTGTGAAAGAAGAATAAATGCTACAATGGCACTGTTGAAATGCCTGTGAATGTTGCAGGCTAGTACATTAAGAGGTAAGAGAAAGAAGATATTCTGAAACATTTATTTCATGATTTGCTGATCCACAAGTGGAGTTTCTGCTTCATTCTGAGTACCACTGTTGTAGGAATAATATGGAAATAGCTGTGGCTTTAAGTTTTAATTTGAGTTTTTGTTCTCTTAACAGCAAACTGTAAGCTAAATGTAACTGAAAAGCAAGAGAAAGAAACAAATTTTGTTGATGACTTTTCTATATTTTTATTTTTGATGAAGTAATTTTGGGATGTGTAAGTAGTGATAGGTCTAACAGTTTATCATAAACAGCTGGAAGAGTCAGAAGAGAACAACATCAGAGAGAAAATGATAATAAATTAGTTTTTTTTTCAAGTGAAGGGTTTGAATTTACACTTTTGATCTGCTAAATATTTTTTTTTCTTTATTGATATGGCAATAGAAATAAGTATGTCACTGGTGGTTTAGATTTATTCCATGCAAAAGGAATACAAATTATTACATTTATAACTGAGTTAAAAGTCCCCGTGCATTTTTGAGACAGTGCTCTCACCCACTTCCTGCGGACTGTGAGTGTTAGGATGTTTTAAGTCATTGTGAAAACGTGTCTTCATGTAACTGCATGTGAGTTTATTTTCAAAGCTGCTTTGAAAACACGTATCTCTTGGATATCTCAGATACAGGTCTGCAAGTAGGAACAAATAACCTTTTCAGCGCAACTGAAAATCCAGAAGAAAGTGTGAAATTGAATGCCTGAAATGTGGCTGCTTGTATTCTAACCAGTGTTTTTTGACCATCCGTAGGTCTTACTCCTACTACATTGAGGTGTCCATGGATGAGTTAGACTGGATTCGGGTTATCGATCACTCTAAATACCTCTGTCGGTCCTGGCAGAACCTGTATTTTCCTGCCCGTGTCTGTAGGTGAGTTCATCAATGTAATGTTGCATGGCTATTGTCAAATACTGCAGATACGAGAATAAGTTGCTGGATTTTGCTACTGCATTATGTATTTCCGATAATGATATGAACAACTGTCATCAGCTGTCTTAAAAAAAAAAAAAAATCTATCTTAGTGGAGGCTTTTTTAATACAAATATAGGTCATAAATTGCAGGCATTCTGTTTTGAAAACTGATGCTTCCATCTCTAAATATATTTCTCCTTTTTTCTATTTTTTCGAGTCATACTCGCTTTTCCTCTTGCAGCTGACATGTTTTTTTTCACTTAGTAATACGCATCATTTCTTGACTGCCAAAAAGTTAAAAAAGCGTTTACGTATTTGCTGTAGAGGTTGGAAAGGTATTTTTATGTGTTTTCTGCTGTTGCATTGGAAGAAGGTTTTAAACTTTGGTGAAGGAGTAGAAGGGGAGAGTTAGGGCTAAGGAGATCTGAGCAATGTTTTGTGTAAACCAAAGCAGGTCGATGGGCTTAATCGTTATTAAGTTGATGTCTTTTCACTGTTGGTGCGAAAAATTCTGGAAAAAGCTTATCGTTGTGTTGAAGCTGTCTTATCCAGAAACCGAATTGAGCTCAGTGATAAAGGCCACGATCTGTAGATTCTAAAGGTGGTGTCATAATTATGTTTTGGGTCATAGACCCCAAGACAAAATCTCTGTGTTGTAATAATTATTCTGTTATTGTAATAATTGTTCTGTAGATGCAAACTTTTTCATCAGCCCAGCAGTTCTTGGACTCCCCAAGGAATGGAAGGGCTTGCTTTTTCGGATAGACCAACCTCTCTCTCTAATCTTTACTGCTTTGTAACATGGGATTGCTGGCAAGCAGGTGTAGTCTGTGGGAGAAGAGTCTGATGGGTCACTTGTGTCTTAGATAACTCTCAGCCTCCCTGTCCTTTACTAAGTTCGTACTACATGTAACTGACATGAAATGTGCTACATGGAAAAGGTGAGAATGTATTTGTTTGTAAGTTTTAATGATTCTCGTTTTACTATTTTCTCTTTCTGAAATGATTGACGTTGTCCCTTTGTGTGTGTATCTGACAAGTTTTTGCTTAAAGGTGTCTGTGATAAATCATCCATCAATGATAAAATGCCTCATGGAGTTTGTAGGTATTTCACATTTCCTGGAGATATTTTGTGTGCCTTTGTGTTAACTTGATGCAAAGTAAAAGGATTGTTGGTAAGCACAACTCTTCTGCTGCCATCCTGTTACCAGGAAGATGTGAAGAGGTCTAGGATGCTACATGGAGACTTTCCTTAATCTTCTTCCAGAGAGGCAGCCATTCTTTGGCCTCATCCAAAAGCTTGTACAAAAGTGACTTTTTGTTTGTTTTCAACATGAGTTTATCTGTTAGTCATCCCCGCTCTGTCTGTTCATCTGTGTATGTGTGCTGTGTTTTGAGATTATCACTGTTCTGTTTTGGTGAAGGGTCTTTGTAGCCTTGCCTGAAAGTGCAGAGAGGAAGGAGTGAAGGGGAGAGCATTATTGCAGAGTTTCAGGTAGTACTTCGTTACTTTTTTTTTTTTAAAAAAAGGACCTCTTGTGCATTGTAGCTCTTCTATGATCTTGTAATCTTCTGAAAGGATTTACCTTCTGTTGGAGGAGCAGGTAATGAAGAGGGAGTTCCACCCACGTGCTAAGCATAGCTGTGTGTCTTCTACTTAAACGCATGCACGAGCGCGCCTGGAAACCTCTCCCTTGCAGTTTTATTTTGGCAGATATTTGGAGCATACTGTTGTCTAGGTAACTGCAGCACAGGTTTCCTTATTACATAGTCTTCATGCCTCAAATTTTTCCTGTTCTGCTTCATGATCTTCAGTCACCTGTTAGTTTTTGTAAATCTCCATTCCTCATTATCATCTCTGCTCAGTGGTGGGGAATTCCCTGGAGGGGCAGCTGCTTTGAATAGTGAGTGAAAGAACTGAAGAGAAAGTCATGTAGCAGCATAAGTTTATGAGTACTTATTGTTAAGGAACAGTAACCTTAAGGCAATATAAGTTCTCAGTTGTGAGTCAGCATGATAATTCAGGGTGGTTTAGATAAGGCTGTTCTATAATCTCTCTTTGCATCAGTGAATTGAAGCCTGCGTTATAGTAAGGGTTCATTAATCAAAAGAAAACTGTGGCTATAATTTACTGTTCTTTGTATGTATTTTGTCCTGTAAAAAAGAAGAAAAGGCTTTTTGAACTGTAATTGGAGACCTAGAGTTGCTGACAAATTTTTGAGGAGTTCCACTTTGAACTTTATTTATTTATTATTAAATAGGAATATTATTAAATAGGTCTAATGTGAAAGTTGGCTCTGCTTTAATCAGGAGTTTGAATCAGGTGACCTCCAGAGGAGGCTCTGTACACTTATATATTGGTATTTGAGACTTTTTATTTATCTGGCTTTTAATTTCTGTTTAGAAAGGAGTAAACAAAGAGTACTGAGCTTTTTGTTCTATGTCTAATTTCAGAGTTTTTGTGATTATGTATTTTAAGTAGCTTTGTTTACTTAAATGAGTTAAACTAGTTATTTCTAGGATACTAACACAAAATGGAAATCCTAAAATACCTAGCAGGTTTTTGTCATCTAAAAAAGAGATGACCTCCAGTGATGTGAGCACAGATTTAAAATAAGAGCTAATATGGCATTATGTCAGAATATATTCTTTTAATATTTGATACTCTGATTTTACAGATAAGTTATAGATGCTTATGAAAGTACAGGTATGTTTTAAGTGTTTTATATGCTCTGTCTAGAAAGAAATTATTATTCGATTATCAACAGATAATGAAAATAATTCCCGCATTTATTTCATTTGAAGGCATAAATGCCAGCCCCATTTTTAAAGGAAGACATTTTGAGGAGCAACAAAAAATTGGAGACTAGGGTTGTTGGCTGCTTTTTTTAATTTGCACATCTTTTTTTGAAGCAAGGGAGTAAAACATGCCAGATTCTGTAACATTGCTGAAGGACACCCTATTTGTGTCTGATACACTCGAGTAATTGTTCAAACACAGATGGCAAAGAGAATCTGAGCCCTATAATATCAGGCAAGGTTAGTTGCCTTTTTGAGTTACCTTCCCCATAAATATTAGCTGTGGAACATGAGAGCTGTCAAGCACTGAACTGACATGTTCACCTGAGTTTTAAGGAGCTATTCAAACGTTTCCATGGGCACAAACAGTGACAGAGTATAACTTCTACTTGCGTGTAGGTAGGTTGTTTCTTTTGTTGATGGCTGATGGGATATATTTTTGGAAAACCTTTCACTTTTTTCATTAGGTGAATCTCCATTTACAAATCTAAAATCAGTATCTCTTTTTTGCTAACTGGATAAAAAAAAATCAACCTTCTGGCAGTTAGTTGTTAAGTAAAGTACGTGATTTATACTGCAATGAATTAAGACTAATTCAATCTCCTTAAAAAGTCATTTATTGTTTTACATGTGTCGTAGTCTCTATCAGGACTGATTTTTAGTTATTTTTTTTGTATTTGGACCACTGGGCAATATTCGCAATAGTGTTAGTGGTAGGGATATTATTGTGCTTCTCATGAAAGTTAATTTGTAGTTGGCAAAGCATGTACCAAGCCATTCAAACTGATTAGGCAGAATCAGTAAGTAATGTGATAATTTATTATTTTTTTTTATTACACTCTTCTTCTTATTACTTACTTGGGGGATCAAGTCTGTGTTTTAGTATATTCAGAATAACTTTTGCTGGCCGTAACCTTTGTCTAGATTAATAGAAGGAAAATGGAAAAGCAGTGACCAAAGACTGAAATTCTGCAATGAAAAGAATATGAGAAGATTGATTGTGTTTTTTCTTACACAGAAGATGATTTGTTGATGATTTATAGGATGTAATATCTAATTTATATGTACAAGCTAATTTGTATGTGGAAGGTTATTTCTTAGGCATCAGAGCCGAGTATAACTAGAGGGTGTTGCTGTATTTTGGGGTGGATTTTTAGTAAGAGAAAATGCTGGATATAATACCTTGCCTCCTTATTGACATAATTGTGGTTTACATTTTTAATTTTTGCTTTCAGTGGTTTAGAAAATATTATTCCACCACCTTTAAAAATTGAACAGCCATGTACTATGGTGAAAAAGCAAGTAAGAGAGTGGGATTATAGAGCAATTTTTTCTTTTCTATTTTGGTACTAGATTTTTATTAGAATTTCTTCTGGTCCTGGTTTTATTATTTTCACTTATATAGCAATTTTCCTGTAGAGCTGAAGACTTTCTTTAGAGGGAAGATGGGAGACAGAAAATAATCATGTAAGCAGGTTCCTGTCAAAGATAGGAACAAACGTCGGGTTCATAGATACTCCAGCTTCCTCTTTTAATAGCTAGGCAATGTAGAAGACACTGCTTGTGTCTTTGTTTTCCTTGTGCGGTTTGTTACTGACTTTGAAGTGAATATTCTTCTTTCCTGTTTCTAATACCTGCTGGTTAAGCCAACTGTTTACCCTGTCATTAACCTGAGAAAAAAATGAATACCATCATCTTGTTTATATTCAAAAATTAACTCCTTTCTTATATAGCACTTAAGCAATCCATACTCCTATTAGTGTGGGATTGTGTTGTATTTCAAGAAATTAGTGGTGATAATAATAGAAGAGCTGTTTGTAGGGTACTTTTCATAATGCATGTGCATATCAGTTTGAATATGGGTAGACAACACTAGTTCATTAAAAATGTATAATTTCAAATCAAAATGTAGTCAGAGTTGTCATTCTAAGTCACAGCTGTTTTTTGGGGTATAAGGAAGTGAAAATACATGAAGTTAGTGTTATTACCTCTAAAGGTCTTTGAACAGGCAGTGTTGGTTTCTGTGATATCCTTCTCACTTTTTTCATCCTGTCACTTTTGTTTTGTGGCTTCATCTTTTTTCTTTGTTCTACACCACAAACTTTGAAGAACTATATTAAAGCAATTACAAGAAAATGCAAAATTTTAAGAGGTCTCAGAATAAGTCATATGTAACCACAAGGTGTCACTATAATAAAAGTTTAAGAGACTTCAATTTCGTTCTGTTTAAACTGATTTAGTGAAACTGTTATTCTTAGTGCGTGTTGTGCTTGTGTACTAAACTTGCCAGATTTATGGAATCATTCTAGTCCACTGTTTTTGCTATAGAGAGAGCAAGTGCAGAGATGGTACATTAAATTGGAAGGAAGCTCTGTTTTCCATGTTTCATCTGATAATGGATGTTGCTGAGTTTTAATTGGGGGAATGTTTGCCTAACCAGACCAATTTAAAGTTTGAAATGTAATGCAGCAATACCAATATTTGAAAAAGGTGATGGAAGGACAAAGAGGTCAATTTTTGCCTGCATGTACTACTTATTTTTATTGTCTTATCTCTTCTTGAGATAGTGTACTGTGACTAATCAAAGGGAAATATGAATCAATTATTACTGCATAAATTTTTGATACTAAAGCATTAAAACAGCTAACAAATGCCTATAGAATTCCTGCTTTTAAATTTGTTTTGAATTGTAGAATTGAGGTTTTCTAATAGTACTAGGTTGAATTAATAGTGTGATAGTATGTCTGAGTGCTCTGTGTTTCCCTTAGAGTACTTGATGCTCTACTAAGTGTGATGTAGAATTATTTTTATTTTAGAAGGTATATTTGAGTATTAAATGTATTTAACAGTGCGGAGAGAATTTTTTGCCTTTTATTAAGCGTTGATGATACTGGGTGGCTTTTTGTTCAGTGCTTCAACAGTTCTTCCTGCTAATGATTACACCATTTATAATCCTCTGTCTGACTGGAGAGAAATGAAATTGTAGACCCTACCTCATGAGCACCAAAGAAGACAAAATATGAAAACAGTAGATGTTTCAGTACTAACACAGTTCTAAACTAAGAAATGTTGGTAGTTGCACACAATTATTTTGCAGGTAATGACATGTGAAGAGATGTGATTTTCAAGTATAGGCTAGAAAAGACTGTTTACTTTAATTCTGTTCTTAATCAGGCAGCCTCAGATACCTGTGCTTTGTATTGGTGATAGTGCAGTCATTTTGTTTTTCTTTCCACTTGGAGACTCACTCATTGAAACTAGCTACTGATTAAGCACCAGTGTCTCACTTGAGCATTACCAGTAGGACTGTAACACTCTTGTCGGTAGTGGATCCCCATTTTGTAGCTTTCCTCTGCTTGATGGAAACTGAGTGGATAATAACTTGCCAAAAGGCGTTCTGAATATGGATCGATTTATGAAGATGTTGAAACAAGTGAGGAGTTAACTCTTCAGGAAGAAGCAGTTGAAGCACTGTCCCAGGGACTTGACAGAAACTGAGAAGACAGGAGTGTCTCCAGATATAATTTAGCACTGACTTTTTAAAGCAAGTAATTCTGCATCCTCTCCACTCCTCCAGTAGAGAACAGTGGTTTTCAGAAAAACCACGCAGGCATCCAAAAGAAGATTTTGAGCATTGTTTTAACTTAAAATGCAACCCTACTACATCATTGACCTAACTGAGAAACATTGACTAAGAGTTGCCGGTAGGAGCTCTGGGAAGGCCAGAGAAGCATTTGAGAAATTTGTATCACCAAGTCCTTAATATCCTTGGAAAAGGGCTTCTTGCAAATAAAATGATTAAACTTGGGCAATGGAAACCGTCTTTACCTTAGTTACGGCACTTGAGAAATACAAGTGGTTGCATAGGTGACTTGCTGATTATTTTATTTGTGCTGTGCTTTGGGAAGCATTGGCTGTAAATATTCTATTTCTAACTGTGCCGATATGCCAATGTTCCAGAGTTCATGGGGAAAAAAATCCCTTGCACAATACAAATTAGCTTTTCTTAATTTCAGGATAACTGAAATATCAGAATTTTCTTCTAATTCTAATGCTGTATATAATGCAATGATAAGGTAATTCCCAGAGATAAGGAAAAATTATCTTGGTTTATATTATAGAAAGAAAGGAATTTTGAAACATCCCTTCAGACCTTTGAGGGTGTTCACTGTTGTTACTTTCACAAATCAGTTTTCACTGCAAGCATGTGATTTCTTTTGTTTTTTGGGGGGAAGGGTTGGTGAGAAGACCTGATAACTCTTTCTAGTAGGAGGTGATCATGTTGAAGAATATTTATTGGCACGTTTCCAATACCTTGCTTTTTAATTTTGTGAAATACAAGAAAATGTTTTCCTCTATTTTGGTGGCTAGGTGCTGTTTGATTGTCTTTTTATCCATCAGTGTTTAAGCATCTTTTTTTTCCAGTATGTGTTCAGTCTGGCATCTTTTTCTTAAGATAAGGTGATAGTCTCAGATTTTTCAAACAATGTAGATCATCTACATAAGATCAAGAAAGCTATTGTCTCATCTGGGATGGAGTGTTTATTGATTTTAAAGATCGCTTTCTTCATTTCAGGTTATGTATACTTTTGATCTTAAGCTTAGACTTCTAATTTCATCTCCAAAGGTGGTCCTAGTAATATAGAAGCTCATTTCTCTACAGGCATAATCAATAACATTTTTCATCAGGAACTTTATCAAGGCAGCTTTTTTTCTTCTCAAATTCCTTTTCTGTCTCTGCCATAGCAATTTCAGTTATGCTAAGCTAAAGAGCCCAACTTAGCTTTGAGGAAAAGCAAAAAAGCTGGTGTGCATTTAAGCTGTCGATGACAACCTGCCAGACAGCTTGTCCCCTGAAAATTAATATTTGTCTGAAAAAGTGTGTGTACAGGAGTCAGTATGACTTGTATAGAGATACCTAAGAAATGTGAGAGTGAGCCTGCTAATGCAGTTTGCTGGATATTAATTATAAAAGAGTGTAGTGTATTATTTTCTTATTTTCTGGTTTATAGTTTAAAAGAAACAATTAACTCTTGAAGTTATCTAGATAATATAATTTTCACGTTTGACATAATGAGCAAGTTTTTTGTATTATGATTAGAATATCTGTGTTTTTTGAATTTTGATACATTCATTGTGAGTTTCTTAAACTGTAAATTGTTTCTAGGGCTGTTTTCAAGCTGTTTCATGTCATAAGAGATCTGATGTAGGTGAAAATTATCAGGAGTTACTCAGTTTGATAGTGATACATGAAGATACACCTAAACATTAAATTATCAAATTTTTCATAATAATTCTATAGCAAGTTGTGTTTTAACGTTAATATTAGTTACATGGATAAATCTGTGTTTGAAAGGCATCTTCAGCATTTTTTTTCTTTAAATCCTCTTCTTGTGATTTCTGTTACATTCCAGAAGCTAGAATTAACTGAAAACTTGCCATAAATATTTACAAAGACAGACTTTTGTAAAAGGAAATCTTGTTTTGCCAAATTTGTAAGTATTCTGGTTTATTTTAGTTTGTTGATCAGTGATGGCCGTCTCTTAAAACTGTTTGATGACATTGTATAAAGCATTTCTCTTTTTCCCCATTTCTCAGCAAATAATGGGCATGATTTGTTGGTGTCTATCAGTAAAAAATTTTTTGTAAAGCAAATTTTTCTATGGTTAGACTTTATTCTTTGTTCCTAAACCTCAATGTTGCTTCTGTGTAGCATTTATTAAGGGTATAAATCAGTGTATGAATGGGAAAGCCATAATGTAAACAGCTTTTTATAGTGTCCTTTTTCTCCTCAAAAGAAGCTTGTAGAACTGGTGTTGAGCTTAAACTTCTTGAGCTTGGACCATATTTACTCTTTCTCGTCTCAGTTTCAATTGGGAGGATTAGGCTGATAGTTCCATTTAATGCAGCTTTTAAATGGTTTTCTCTTCCACAAAAGGAGTATTCACCTCCTAATGTGGAAGAAGATAGGACACAAACAGTTGAAAATGAAAAATAAAGCTGAAAATAAATAAAGAAACAAATAAATAATAATAAATAAAAATAACAAGTCGGATGCTATAGAGGAACTTACAGGAAGACAAATGTGAAAGTATCTTCAGCTGACAGAAATTAGCGAGTGAAGGAAAGATGGCAATTGAAGAGTGAGGTCCTACAGAAAATGCAACATGCTTTGAAAAAAAAAATAAGTGCAAATGAAAAATGTTTAAAACAGTGTTTTTAGAGTAAAGATAAGGATAGAAAAACAATGTGTGACTTTTTTTCATTTTCAGACTGCTCCTGGAAGCAGTTATTATTTGTGG